TTTGTAGAGATGGGATTTCACCATGTTGGCGAGGCTGATCGTGAACTCCTGACCTCAGGTGATCCACCAGCCTCAGCCTCCCAATCTGATAGGAATTTTTAAAGAAACAATAGCGAAGAAATATGATGGAATACAATTTTATGGAACGTAGTAGAACAAAGTAGAAAACAGAAGTGAGAACTTCAGGTATTTTGGGAAAATAAGATTGTATCCCCTGTTGGGAAAGAAAATCAATAGCTAGTCACTGTCTTGTAAACCGATGATGGAGCACTCCTGTGAGTAATGCTAATTTAGTATCTTCATAGTGAATTACATTAAAATAACTTCCTACAGTCTTTGCAGAACCAATACACACTTGCCTCTTGCAAAGGGTGCTACCCATTGCCTGCCACATGGTAATTACATAATCTAATAAATGTTGTCTTCACTGTTATTCTTATTATGACGCGCTAGCAAAAATGTTGTAGTAAAACATGTATTTTAAAATATTAGAAAGAAATATATAACCATAATGTATTCTAAAATTGCTTAGAAAAATGTAATCCAGTGACTGCCTTTCATTTTCTAAGCACTGTATATTAAATTATTACCAGACATTTCTTTTTCTGTGATATCTAGAAATACTTCCAAGCCAAATAACATAATCTATGTTTTCTGACATAATCATAAAGTGAAAAACTGAAGGTTATATTTTTCATGTGTTAATAATGCAATTTTAGTTCCTCTAATAAAATAAAAAAAACTAAAATTTAAAAAGGCATGATTTGGGGAAGAAATGCCATGATGCCATGTTACCGTCAATAATAATACGGTGACAAGATGGGTGATGTCTGGGGTTCTGTTGGCTGGTGAACTTATCTCGAGTTACCAACCTACCAAATTGAATTACCACCTGGGCAGCAAACATGTTACTTAAGCTCTAGAAATCCCATAGTAGCTCTGTGTTCTATTGAGTATCAAAAGAGTCACGTCATTTTTGGAAGGAATCAGTCATGCATACATACACGTACAATTTATGTATATATATATACACACAGACACACATACATGTGGGTCAAATCTATATAGATTGAGAAAATCAAAGGAGAGACTTTCAATTTGGTGTAAAATCTCAAAACTTTGAGCAATGGCAAGAAAATGTTTACTGATTTCTCCATGTTTTGGGTCAATATGATATAAGAATATTGGCCAAAAAACAACTGATAGTTTTAAGCATTCACGTGTGACCAGTTTTTCTCTGTGTAAGTTTTGAAACATATACTGATGGCTGCTGCTGTGAACTGAATGCTTCTGTCTTCCCGAAATTTTTTCTGTTGAACTGTGGCAGCAGGCGTGGTAGACTGAACATTGAACTGCCCCATTCCCACAACAAAACCAAAAGAAATGAAAAGGAAAAAATCTCCATGACTGGCAGGGTGTGGTGGCTCACATCTATAATCCCATCACTTTGGAAGATGGAGGCAGGTGAATCACCTGAGGTCAGAAGTTCAAGACTGATAGGGTAAAACCCCACCTCTACTGAAAATACAAAAAATTTAGCTAGGTTTGGTGGCTGGCACTTATAATCCTAGCTACTCAGGAGGCTGAGACAGGAGATTTGCTTGAACCCCGGAGGCAGAGATTGAAGTGAGTGGAGATCACGCCACTGCACTCCAGCCTGGGTGACAGAGCGAGACTCCTTCTCAAAAAAAAAAAAAAAAAAAATCTCCATGACCTAATCCTTAAGGTGATGGTATTCAGAGGTAGGGCCTTTGGGTGGGTATTAAGTTCAGATGAGGTCATGAGGGTAAAGTCCCCAAAATGAAATTAGTGAACTTATAAGAAGAGAGTCTCTCTTTGCCATGTGAGGACAAAAAAAAAGAAAATGTCCATCTTCAATCCAGGAGGAGAGCACTCATGAGGCAAGGTGAGATCCTGTAACCTTAGACTTAGCAGTGTCAGAACTGTGAGAAATAAGTATTTGTTTTTTAAGTCAGCCAACTTAGGGTATTTTGTTATAGCAACACAAGCTGACTGAGAAAGCTCCCTTCTCTATTCTCCATGACATTATTCTTAGTTCTACATATAAATTTCTTTACCACTAGACATGCAGGAGCTTTGAAGTTATAAAGCACTAGTATGTGTATAAATAGATTCCACTGAAAATCTCCTTACATGTAGTCTACTACATGACAAAACAATTTTAACACATTTATACAGTACGTAAAATTTTTCGAAGTGCTTTTGCAGATTTTACTTCATTTTGCACTTTTACATTACCTTTGCAAGAACATACATTGTATTCATTTCCTAGATAAAACCACTGAGTCTGGAGAATACAAGAAACTTCCTAAAATCAGAAAGCTATGTACATTTGCGTTTTATGCACATTGCTATTCACATACACTTCTGATACCTTTAACCTGACATTGATCTCTCTAGCCAGTAGAGTTACTCATTAGTAACATGACCATTTCAAGATGTGTCCTCAAATTACTATCCAGTCTATTATTTGTACATTTAGCATTTATTGTAACTGAGTGGTGATGACTGATTAATTTAAAAGTGTTCAGTGCTGCCTGTTTCTCCTTTTGTTCAGTTTATGCTTCTGAACAATTAATGGCAAACGGAACTCTCATTATGTCTGTTTTGACTGAGAAGCCAATAGAAGAGTTATCAATTGCCAGAGGGAGGGAGAAACAGACTTCACCATATGAAGAAATTTCAAAACTAATTTAGAGAAAGCTGTAAGGCTTTTTTTTTTTTTTTTTTTTTTAACCTTGGATTCCTGTTTATTCTTGTCTCTGGGAAGGTCTGAAAACAGCATCAACACAGGCCTCAGATCCCACCACTGATACTTAAGCTACAGAAACTGTAGGGAAGTGTATTAGTCTGTTTCATGCTGCTGATAAAGACTTACTAAGACTTGATAATTAATAAGGAAAAGAGGTTTAATTGAATCACAGTTCCACATGGCTGGGGAGGCCTCGCAATCATGGAAGAAGACAAGGTAGAGCAAAGTCACATCTTCCATGGATGGCAGCATACGAGACAATGAGAGCCAGGAAGAAGGGGTAAACCCTTATGAAATTATCAGATCTCATGAGACTTACCAAGAGAACAGTATGGGGGAAACTGCCCCCATGATTCAATTATCTCCCACCGGGTTCTTCCCACAACACATGGGAACTATGGGAGCTAAAATTCAAGATGAGATTTGGGTGGGAACACAGTCAAACCATATCATTCTGCCTCTGGCCCTTCTCAGATCTCATGACCTCACATTTCAAAACCAATATGCCTTCCCAACAGTACCCCAAAGTTTTAACTCATTTCAGCATTAACTCAAAAGTCTACAGTCCAAAGTCTCATCTTGAGATAAGGCAAGTCCTTTCTGCCTGTGAGCCTGTAAAATCAAATGCAAGTTAGTTACTTCCTAGATAGAATGTGGATACAGGCATTGAGTAAATACAGCCATTCCAAATGGGAAAAATTGGCCATAACAAACGGAATACAGGTCCCATGCAAGTCTGAATGGGGCAGTCAAATCTTAAAGCTCCAAAATGATCTTCTTTGACTCCATGTCTCACATCCAGGCCATGCTGATACAAGAGTTAGGTTCCTATGGTATTAGGCAGCTCCACCCCTGTGGCTTTGCAGGGTATAGCGTCCTCCCCCCCCACCGCTTACGTGCTTTCACAGGCTGGCATTGAGTGACTGCAGCTTTTCAGACACATGGTGCAAGCTATCAGTGGACCTACCAATCTGGGGTCTGGAGGACTGTGGCCCTCTTCTCACAGCCCCACTAGACAGTGGCCCATTGGATAATCTGTGTGGGGTCTTCAACCCCACATTTCCCTTCCACACTGCCTTAGCAGAGGTTCTCCATGAGGACCCCACTCCAGCAGCATACTTCTGTCTGGACATCCAGGATTTCAGGATTTCCCATACATCCTCTGAAATCTAGACGGAGGTTCCCAAATCTCAATTTTTGATTTTTGTACACCTGTAGGGTCAACATCACATGGAACCTGCCAAGGCTTGGGGCTTAAAACCTCTGAAGCAATGGCTTAAGCTGTACCTTGACCCCTCTTAGCCATGCCTATTGAATCTGGGATGCAGGACACCAAGTCCCTAGACTGTACACAGCAGGGGTCCCTGGACCCACTCTACAAAACCATGTTTTCTTCCTAGGCCTTCATACCAGTAATGAGAGGGTCTGCCACAAAGTTCTCTGGCATGCCCTGAGGACATTTTTTCCCATTGTCTTGGCAATTCACATTTGGTTCCTTGTCACTTATGCTAATTTTTGCAGCAGGCTTGAATTTCTCTCCAAAAAATGAATTTTTCTTTTCTATTGCAAATTTTCCAAATTTTTATGCTCTGCTTCCCTTTTAAGTGTAAGATCCAATTTGAAACCATCTCTCTGTGAATGCATAAAACTGAATGCTTTTAAGAGTACTCAAGTCACACCTTGATTGCATTGCTGCTTAGAGATTTCTTCTGACAAGATACCCTACATCATCTCCCTCATGTTCAAAGTTCCACAAATTCTGGGTCAGGGGCAAAATGCTGCCAGTCTTTGTGCTAAAACACAGCAAGAGACAACTTTGCTCCAGTTCCCAACAAGGTGCTCATCTCAATCTGAGACCACCCCAGCCTCAACTTTATTACTATCAACATTTTGGTCAAAGCCATTTAACAAGCTTCTAAAAAGTTCTGAACTTTCCCACATTTTCCTGTCTTCTTCTGAGCCCTCCAAACTGTTCTTACCTTTGCCTATTTCATAATTCCAAAGGTGCATTCATATTTTTGGTTATCTTTACAGCAGCACCCCACTTTACCAGTACCAATTTACTGTATTAATCCATTTTCACACTGCCGATAAAGACACACCTCCTACTGGATAATTTAAGAAGGAATAAGATTTAATTGACTCACAGTTCCACATGTCTGAGGAGGCCTCAGAATCATGGCAAAAAAGAATTATTGTTGCAAATCAGCTAATTTTAAAATGAAACCTTACCCTGGATTATATTATTAAGCTCAATATTATCTCAGAAGTGGTTTAATGTGGAAAAAGGTAGAATAAAATCAATGTCAGAATGACACAGAGTAAGAAAGGCTTGACAAGCCATAGCTGCCTTTGAAGATGGAAGAAGCCGTAAGCCACGGAATGCAGGCTGCCTCTGGGGGTTGGAAAAGGCAAGAAAATCTATTCTACTTTAGAGCTTCCAGAAAGAAATATAGTTCTGGAAACTTGATTTAAGCCCAGAGAGACTGATTTTAGATTCTTAATTTCAGAACCATAAAACAATAAATTTTGTATTGTTTTAAGCTACTAAATTTGTCATAAATTTGTGGTATCAAATGAGCAAGTAATGTACCCCTCATGGTTGTTTCACTTGCTGTCTAATGACACATGCTCCCTTGGGTATGGTGATGTCCACAGGATGCGTACAAGTCTCACAGGTGCCTGCACACTGCTGGAAAACTCAGCATGCATTTGTGCGAGCACCCAATATTGACATTTCCTGCACCAACCTAGACCCCTACCAAGCCCTACTAGCAGCAGTGTCTGGGTCGAGGGTATGGGTTGGGCAACCAAGAAACCAAGTCAGAGAAGTGTCAGGAGATCCATCTGCTTTTGAGCTAAGGCCCTTTAGCCTCCTATAAGTGCTCAATTTTCCCAAAATACAAAGGTCAAACAAATTGAGCAAAATACAAGTACAAACAGAACATTAAGAATTTTAAGGCAGCAAATGGAGAGCATTAAGTGCCAAGCATGAGAGCAGTTTCTGAGTGTGGGAGCATGTGCTGTTGCACTGGATGTAGATTCGTGGAGCTGGTCCTGTTATTTATTCAGACAGCAAACCACAAGGGCAATGGGACCCTGCACCTAGAGAGGAACCCTGGATTCCCCGGGACTGTGAAAGAGTCACAGTATTCCATAAAGAAGATACTAGCATTTGCCTCAGTTCAGGAAATTGTGGATGGTATAAACTGGCTTCTTCTAGCAGCAGAATTAGCTGTAAGAGATGAGACTTTATGTGGATGAAACTTTACATGGAAGGTGATCTCAAAAAGCACTGGCAGTATAGTGAGGAAGTAAGTCAGTGCAACGGAGTGATCTAAGGAGGCTGTGTTAATAGCAGGTAACAGCTATTACTGATTAAGCATCTGTCCTGCTAGAGATCTTCAGGAGGCTGTCTGCATACATCAGAGATGTCCCTCATGGGTATAAAACAAAACATGGGATATTTAGCCCCCTACTTTGTCGTTGATTAGAAGTTGTTCTTAGAAGCATTAATTTCTGATACTTCCTTCATGCTTCTCACAGAGTTGATGCTTGTTTAATTCTTCTTTATTTCTTATTGGGTTCATTTCTGAGCCATGCCAACCACCTGTCATGACAACAATTGGAGAGGAAGCTGTTGAATAATGGACACGAAAAAACTATTTTGTATTAAAATATAGAACATATGTTAAGCACGAGAACTGTTGGATCTAATACGTGCCTTTCACACTGTGGATGAGAAGAGATATGGAAGTACCCATTCTGATTATCTGGAGCTTACACACCTGTCAAAGGTGTTGTCAGAGAATAAGCTGGATTCTTGCTGGCTCTCTCCTCCTGACCATCTGGTGCCACTTGACAAGTAACAGAAAGTGTTCTACTATTATTTAAAGTATATGATTATAGAAAGTTTAGTGAAAAGTTACTTACATTTTCTAAGCTCCTTCTGTTTTTTTCCCTGTCATATGTTTGAGTTGTTGTGTAAACTCGTGAGATAATGATAAAGTAAATAAAGAAATATGAAACACAGTAAAAATGTCTTAAATAATGTTATATTTCTTTTTTTACTGAATGGAGAATGGAAGGACACATAGTATCCTTAAGAATAAACTTAAATTATTAGAAAAAAAAAAGTACCCTCATCTCACTTATTCTCTCTTTCAAATTGCTTTCTTGGAACTTTCTGGGTATAAATAAGAGATAATGAATATGTTGTTTAAAGCTACAGTGTTTACAAATCTCAGTTCATACATTTGCTGTAAAAGTAATGTAATGGATATTTTTCTGTAACTGGACATAATACTTCCAGTTCCTCTTTTGCCCAGGGGTGAAAACATATTTCCAGTTAATTAACATCTACTTTTCCCTCAGAGTTGTGTCTAATATCCAATGAAGATGGGCAACGGGGACCCGCAAGGGGCGCCCCACCTAATTCTCTGTTATCTGTTCTTGCTGGAATTGTCTGAGACATCTACTTACTCATTCACATTTTGGTCATTGATCCATTAAGGTTCCTGCTTTGTTGTTCTTTTCTACCTCTATGGACTTCCCATGCCACTCATGATATATGGACTTCATTCTTCCACCTCCTTCTCACCACAGATATAGAAAATTCTTAGGCATTATTTTTAAGGCATCCACCACATCGGCACTCTGATGCAACACCCCTCTCCCAGTACCAATTTACTGTATTAGTGTCTTTCATGTTGTTAATAAAGTCATGCCAAAGACTGGGAAATAAAAGAGGTTTAATTGGACTTACAGTTTTACATGGCTGGGGAGGCTTGAGTCATGGTGAGAGGTAAAAAGCACTTCTTACATGGTGGTGGCAAGATAAAATGAGGAAGAAGCAGAAGACCCTGATAAACTCATCAGATTATCATGAGAATAGCATGGGAAAGATTCAATTACCTCCTATGATTCAATTACCTCCTCCTGAGTCCCTCCCACAACACATGGGAATTCTGGGAGATATAACTGAAGTTGAGATTTCAGTCGGGACACCATTTAATCGTATCACCGTAATAAAGTATTTCCAGGAATCTTAAAAAGAATCTTGTACATACCACATTGTCTCTCTTTAAGTCAGACAGTCATAAATATACTTTCAATTTTTGTGAAAATTCAACCCTATTTTTAGTTGCTTTGGTGTTTGATTTTAATATCTTCAAATTGTTCCCTAGTGTTTTCCATCAGTATTTTTGTTTTGCTTTGTTGCCAATATTTAAAATCAGATTAGATCAAAGCCGAAAATAGTATATTGAATGTTTATTTTATACTTTTCAATACAAGTTGGCCATTTGTGTTCTAAAATTAATTTTTAGATTTTCGAATTTCTGCCAAATTTATATGTGATCATGTAATGATTTATCAAATATTTTCTCTACCATTTGTTTTAGATTCTTTATTCTTATTTTAGTTTCCTTCTTTTATTTTTATATGGTTAACCATGTCTACATATATATCCATTTTTCTAAAATGCTTTGGATAAGTCTTTTTCTTGTCATTTTATTTTGTTTTATATTTTATAAAAATTGTATGTTCACTAGTTTTTCACCTTAATATACTTGTGATTATCTATTTCATATATGTTCTAGGTTCTTGAGGAAAATCCTTAACTTTTTAATTTGAATGGTACAAAAGCATTTATTACTAAAGATACTTTGTAATATTTCACATGGTACTGCTTTAAAGACTCATTTGTCATCTGAATTTTTTCTGTAATCCATGATTTATTTTTATATATATATATTTCTTTTTTTGTAACTTTTTATTTTGTTATAACTTCAAAAACATATAAAAGTTGCAAGAATAGGCCGGGCGCGGTGGCTCAAGCCTGTAATCCCAGCACTTTGGGAGGCCGAGGCGGGTGGATCACGAGGTCAAGAGATCGAGACCATCCTGGTCAACA